TGGGGGGGGGGGGGGAGATGCTTCAAATTGGCAGTGAGGATATTCTGGGTGGAATATGTTTTATTCATTACCAGCATTGCATATTTTATCATCAGAAAATCACTGATGTTCCTGATGAGGTGAGGCATCCAGCTACCCCTCTCATTTTCATTTTTTGCACCATATAATAACATTGTGTAGTTGTGTAAAATTCTACTGATTCTACATGATATTTGTCTAATGTTGTACAGTAGCAAGATCTGTAATATTTGGATAATATGAGGTTATTTTTACAGTGACATCTCAATTCTCAGTGAAGCTAGATCATCTCACTTAAAATGAGAATACATTTCCCACCATTTCCAGAGGGACGTTTGAGAAGGTTAGAGGATGTTAGTTCGTCTATCTCTATGTAAAGAAACTAAATTATCTGGTTTAAATAGCATTTAGCATAATGTTTTATCTGCGAATGGTTTCAGACATCAGTTAAAGAAAGTTGCTGAGCAAAAGGAGAAAACAATATTATCCTCAAACACTTGAATTTCTCTGTTCCTGTTTGCATAATCCAAGCCAGTAATGGGAGGACAAATACACGGTGATGGTTGAATTATTATATAGAGATATGTTTCTTCCAAATCCAGTATTTTATTCCAAAGCTGCTGTGCCATCTGTATGGATAGTATAGAACCTGTTCCTGTTTCTTGGTCATGGTTGACTCTGGTTTTGCAGGAGATCAAGATGGAAACTTTTTGTTGCCTTTGCCTTAGAGTCTCCTGAGGGTGTAAATTGATATGAATAAGAGGCAGCCCCTGTGAAGTGCTGAATTGACCTATAGTGCTCACCAGCCTAACTTTAGCCAAGCTTTTAAGAGCATGCTTAAAACTAAGCAGGCTACTAGGTGATGGACTTCTTGCATGCATAGTCAAGTAATACTAATTTATTGTAAAATGTAGGAACTGTTCAAGGAACAGAAATCAGTTATTTCTTTCCTGTGTGAGTGTCTGTCACTGAGCTCCAAAGTTGTGCTCCCCATCTACTCTCTCTGGCAAGTGGATCTTGAATTATTGTTTAAACAGTATCCAAGCCTGATGTTAGTAACCACTGCCGCTGTCTGAAAGAAGTGATATCCTGGTGGTTCAGGAAGTGAGATGGGAAGATTTGAATCCTATTTAGGAGAGAAGAAAAAGTTATCCTTGGATGTTGTACTTCTGAGTGGGTGCTGTAACCACCAGGCACTTCTAGCCATGAGTAGCTTTGTGACACATGGACACATCTTCTTGCTGTAGAATGCAGAGGGTGTGGAAAAGTAGTGCTCGTGGCCTGTTTTTGTTTCTTGTTTAGTTTTGAGAGTGAAGGTGAACCTCTTCACCCACTAGTGGAGGAACGTCTAATTTCTAGATGTCTGTTGGTCTTAGAGATTAAGCTAGGTACTAAAATAGCCAAATTTTTTGGACCTAATATTTTTTGGGCCTAATATGCTGAAATAGAGCCAGAGTTTGTAGGATCGCAAATCAGATGTATGTCTTAAGTGCCTATCCAAAGTTCTGCTTTAGGTGCCTAAGGCCTCTTTTGGATGTGGGATTTATTTCTCTTTCAGTTCATAGTATTAAAATCACAATTCTCAATAAGAGGTTAATGTGCCATTCACCTCTGAAGACAGATGGTCAGTGTTTTGTGCAGAACCTGTACTGTGTAGGCACTATAACAAAATAAGACAGAAAGATCTGTTTTCATCATAAGGTGTTGATGCCAAGCCTTTGAGATCTTCCTTGAGAAGGAAGCATGTGTAAGACCACCAACCACCAGGAGTAGGGAGCAGAAGAGATTGAATGTGCCTGTCCAAAATGTGTAGGGGACATAGAGTATAATTATTGCCATGTTGGTGTAGTTTAATTTGCTAAATTCAGTAGTTGCTAAAGTTGCTGACAGTTCTCAGTAGATCCTATATGTAAATGTGCACACAGCTCAGTGAAAAAATCATGATGATTAATACTTTGTTTGCAAATATTACTTTTTCAGTGATGTTGACTACCTTCTGTCTGAAGGTGGTATCATATTATTTAGCTATACAATAAATAAGATAATTTGAAAATGGAAATTGTTTACAGAAATATGCACAATTCATTCTATGACGTTCTTTCGAAGAGAAAAACTTAAATATGTGATAGACTTTTGGAATGATATTGCTATATGCTGTATTTTTAATCTATTCACAATGAATAAATACAAATCTGTATTTTTAACAAATGTGAAAATAAATCTGAGGCTGAGGCCTGTCAGAATTTACCTGGGTTCAGTGTTTCCCCATGTCAGTGGGAGTATCGCTTAGATAAGGACAGCGAGATGGAAGCCTTTGCACGGCAGGCATGCAAATACTGATTGCCTGCATCACTTAGTCCTCTCATTTACTTTGTCTGTTTTCATTCTGGCTGGTCAATAAAGTTGTTCTTTTTGTCGCTTTTCTCAGTAGAGTTTTAGTCACTGCATGTGGGGGGTTGCTTTTGCTTTTTTTAATTTGTCAAAGTTCAATCCTACTATTGCAAGCTTCCAGAAATCCTCTGTGTTGTTTCTATTTTTCCATCCCTGATTTCTTTCAATAGTCAGAAGTAACTAACTGGGGGGGAAGTAATCAGATGTGTACTGAGAAAATCTGTGTTTTCCTCAAGAAAACTAAATGGTTAATGTGCTGTTTTATTTGCACTCGATTACACAAGCCATGTCTGTAACTAATACAGAGTAAGATGTAAGGGCTGAAGCACTCATTTGCAGGACTGGTAGAGGCGTCCTTGTGCCTTTAGTCTTTGCTTAGTCCTGAGAAAAGAATGGAAATACTCGGCCTCTGTGATTGGAAGTGAGAGCGTTTTTTGTAACGGTTACAATATCTAACAATACACTGTCATCTTCAGTATCACTTATTCCCCTTTCTGTTCAAGAATAAGTTGTCTGATACCAGCCCTTTTTAACAGTTAAAAATTGAGCTATTGCTGTTGCTTTTTTATTGCTTTATTTAGACAGGTATAATTTATTATTCCCACATAGTTTAAACAATATAGAATAATCATAGAATATGAAATTGTTCTATAGCAAAGACACCTTGAAATGGCAAAATCTCCTAACAAAGAAGCCCCAGCAGAGCCTCTTCACTCCACTGTTGTGTCACTAAGATGAAAAAAGGTGAAATCTGGCATTGCAAGTCTTGTCTTTAGGTATAGCTGGTGTCACTGTGAGCTGCAGCGTTTGGCAAGCAGGGATAGCATCCATCAAATAGCACAGAGACTGCCAACACGGCCTATAGAGTGTAAATAAGAATATTGCCTGTTTCTTAATTACTGGCCTGTGGGACGGATTTGAATCTGTCTTCCCCACAGGTACATTTTCATTCTGAGGGTGGAGTGGCTGCTGGCAGACACAGGTAGGGTTTAGATAGGCCAGATCAGGACTTCTCATCTGAATGTTAAAAGGGAGGATTTTGCTTGAACCTCAGGCTGGATTCACAGAATTACAGACTGGCAGTGGTTGGCAAGGACCTCTGGAGAGCATCCAGTCCAACCCCCTGCCACAGCAGGTCAGCCAGAGCAGGTTGGACGGGAACGTGTCCAGGTGGGTTTGGAATATCTCTGGAGAAGACACTGCGCCCTCTCTGGGCAACCTGTTCAGGGCTCCGCCACCCTCACAGCAAAGAAGTTTTTCCTCACGTTTGGGTGGAATTTCCTGTGTTCCTGTCTCTTGCCCCTGGCAGTAGATTTGGGGACAGTGCTGCTGGTGGTGGGTCAGGTTGTTCTCAGGGACATCTCTCACATGGCTCCCACTGCTGGGGGACCTGGACACCCATGGGGACAGCTCACAGGTTTGTCACCATAGGGCCTGGTCCTTAGGGTGGGCACAACTGATACAAGTGTTTTGCCTTGCTCTTCTCTAGCTCACTCCTGTGCCAGGAAAGCAAATATAATGAGGCTGGTAGCTTGTGTTATATCTGGAGTTCTGTAAGTTAATTCTTTTAATTCGGAAAAAGTCCTATAATCATCATCTTGCCTTGCACTGGTAAAATGAGAAATCTGGTGAATCAACTGCCAGCCCTGAGACCCATGGTCTTACCCTCTGTGTGTCACACATGGCTGATGTGAGGAGTCCTGGGCACAGGGTCTTCCTCCGGCATTTCGGGGACAGAGGCTGAGCTCACCTATGGCAGGGCAGAAAAGCGCTTCTCTGGGAGGTGTTGGTACCTCTGGCTGCCCGGGCAGCGGGACCTGTGCACCAAGCAGCCCTGGCAGTGAGAAGAAGACTTGTGTGACGTGCACACAGCTTCTCGCACACTGCATCCTCACACACCGCCTGTGTTGTGGACAGTACCCCGTGTCCACTGCTGTCCAGACGAGAGCTTGGGTGCTGCTCCATCAGACTCGCTTCCTAATCCTTTCTGCCTGACCAGATAAGAGGTGACTGGCTGTGTGAAGCCAGCTGAGGTCTGCCTACCCTCTCCTCCCTGAGCTTCTCAGCTAAGCCAGGGCCCTGGGTGGTGCCTCAGCTCCCTCTGTTCTCAAAAAAACCCCAAAAAACGCCCGACTCCTTCTCAGAAGGAGCTGAACTGAGGACGTGAAACTATAGCAGCAACAGAGGAGGCTCCCATTAACGCTTACGTGCGTGTGCTGTTATTCCTCAGTTCTTGTAGGCAGTGAATGAAATTTTTAACAAGACTGCAAAGCAGGTCCCTGGGAAGAGCTGGCACCGTAGGGACGGGCAGTGCGAGGGGGAGTGAGCGGGGGATCCAGCAGGGTTGAATGAACTCTTCATCTCTCCTGTTCAAATGAAGTGCCGCAACTACAGCAGTAAATCAAGATGCATTAAGACTTTGTGGCCTTTTCCTAGAGAAGCTGGATTTTTTCTCCAAACTAAGGGTTGAGAATAACACTAATTCCCTAAGAAAATTTACGAGACTTTCAGGCAAAATGTGGGGAGAAGCTCCTGAAGACACCTTTATGGGACGCCAGGTAGCTAACTTGTCAGTTACCCCTTTTCACAAGAGTTGTACCGAGTGCTGCTGCTGCTACAGGCTGCAGTGCGTGTTTGCGCTGCAAGCGAAAAAAACATAAAGTCTGCTGGCTTTTCATTTTGCAAATTCAGTGGGTTGTAGCTTTGCAGCAGACAAAATGAATCGCGTTTCGGTTTATTTTTTCAGATGTGCAGGGGTGTGCAGGCGATGCCCACGTGGCACCCGCCCGCGCTGGACTCCATTGTACTGCTGCCACTGTACCCGCCGACAGACGGGGGTGAAAAATCCGCATTGTGTTATTGTTCGGGTAGAAGGGTGTTGGGGCAGGGATTTGGGGACGGGGGGAAAGAAAAAGGGTGAAGACAAGTTCTGGCTACACTAAACGTGGCGGCGAAACTTAATGTCTGCACTAACTGTGGTGGCGACAGCTAAACCTACAGGGTGGTAGCGTGGCCGAGCGGTCTAAGGCGCTGGATTAAGGCTCCAGTCTCTTCGGGGGCGTGGGTTCGAATCCCACCGCTGCCAGTAGAATACCTTTTGCCGCTGCAAGCGCCCCCTGGTGGGCAGCGGCCAGCCGCCGGAAGAGCATTATGGGTAGGAGGAGGGCCGCGTTCCCACGTGCCGGCCGCAGTGACGCCAACATGGCCGCTGCCTGAACGCCGCCCGCCGCACCGCCACCGGGGAGCCGGCGGCCGCGCTGCCCGTCTGGCCCTCCGACAGGTAGGCGGCTGCGGAGACACTTTTACCCCTCCCGGTGCCGCGTGGGCGGCGGGAGCGCTGCGGGCGGCAGAGGGGGAGGAGCGCGGCCTGGGCTGAGGTGGGCTTTGCCTGTTCGGTGAGGGCGGCGGTGACGAGCCTGAGTACTCGACGCCACGGCGAGTCCCGGTGGTGTGGGGCCGCGGCACCTGTGCGGGGCCCTGACAGGAACCGGCGCGGGTCGGGGGTCCTCCCTCGAAGGGAGCGGGTGGGGGTCCGGTGACAGGCCGCGGCCCCTCGGCTCCCCTCACCGGCGGGCCGGGGGGTGTCGGCCGGTCCTCCTGGGGCTCTAAAGCGGAGGCACCGGCCGGCCCGGGGTCGTGGTCCCCAGGGCTGGCGGCTCTGCGTCTCCCGCCCTGAAAGGGTGCTGCTCACGCCAAAAATGCCGCCAGCTGCCTATGCCAGAGCATCGGCTCTGCGGGGACTGTGGCACAACCCTGCCCCGCCGGGGGACGAGGCGCCCGGTCCCTCCTGCCCCGGAGCGGGCCTCCTTCGTCCCCGCCTTACGTGCAGGTTCGAGCGGTTGGCCGTGGCCTCCCTCCTCGGGTCCCCCTTCCTTGCGCTCCCCCTCGCTGCCGGGCTGCTGTGTCAGGAGAGAGCGGGCTCGCCAGTTGCCAGAAATGACGACGCCGTTGCCGACGCGCGCAGGGCCCGCGGCGGAGCCTCCGCGGGGTGGAGCGGTACCTGAGGGGAAGACGGGGCTCGGTGCGGGGCTGCCCCGGCCAGAGCTATCACACGGCAGCCAGCGGCTTCACCCCTGCTCCTGGCAGAACAGGCCTGGCCCTTTGCTGCGTAAATGTTGAGGTGTTCAAGAAAGGTTCATGCTTAATGCACGATCTTCTTAAATCCTGAAGATGTGCGTCAGTGACATCACCTCCAAAGAGAGGTCCTGGTGCAGAGGAGCCCTCTTTGGGTTCACTACCAGAAGATGACTGTGCAAAGCTGCTTGCAGATGAACAAAGCAAGGAGAAAATTAAGCAAGTAATTGGCTCAGAATTGTAGTTATTATAAATGTTTGGAAGGTGCTTTAGCTTCTTTTTTTTTTTTTTTTTGCACCTTCTATTTTACTGCATGCCTTGGGCCACCCTGAGCTAGAGGATCACTGCTAGGGCTGGGCTGAGAGACCCCCTACAGAAGAATGTCCAGGTGGCCAGTGGAAATCATGGTAGTGATTCAGGTTATGGCACTTTTTCCGCTTTGATAGTTCATTATCTATACTTTAAGGCACTGATGCAGCAGGACTTTCTGGCCTTTCCTGCACTGCATAATTATATATATATGAAGAGTATTTCAAGTTTTGGTATTGGCATTTTAAGGGTCTGTTATTACAGACAAATTTAGGTGTGGCTGAAATGCTGAAGCATTTCTTGCAGACCTGGGTAAAAGTCCGAGTGAGTCAGGTGAGTAACTTCTTACGGTTATACTACAGTTTTTGGTAATAAAAATTAGAAAAGATAGCTCTAGTACCCAAATGCCCTTCTAGCTCAGACTTGAAGGTAGGATTCGTTTGCTTCATCACTGATTTTTACAGTTTTTTAACCGCAATATTTTTCTTCATTGGTTCTAAATTGATGATGTTATGGGCAGCTACTGAGTGGTTTCATTGGTCCTAGCATTGATTACAATGCAGGAGAATTGAGAAGATTTATGTCTCTTGCCCTGCTGCAAGCTGTTCTAAAGTTCAGTGACTCATGCTAATAACTCGCATTA